CCCACCTCTCCCCGTGGGGTCCATATGGTGTTCCCGGAGCCATGGCGCCAGCAGCGCCTCCTCCGCCCCACCGCCAGCTGCTGGTGCTGGACGCAGGGTGCCCAGCCTCCTCCCGCCCGGCCTCCTCCTGCCCCGGCCTCCCTGGCCTCTTGGCCTCCGGCTTGCTTCCCCCGCCGGCCCCTGGGGCTGGGCACCGCCAGGCCTTGGGAGGGCGGCTTGCTGTCCTGAGCCTGGGCGGTGGTGGGTGTTGGGACCGCAGACAGTGGATCTGAGCTCCTGTGGAGCCTGAGCCACCACGGTGGGGAGGCCAAGGCCCGGCCCGAGCTGCCCCCGCCTGAGCCTGTGCTCCAGGGTCTCTTGGCCTGAGTTCTGGGTGAAGCTTCTGGAACCTGCGGCTGCCGTCAGCTGGTGGTGACGCACGGTTCCGGCTTCGTCTCTGCCAGGCCCCTATTTGGAGGTGCTTCCGCCGCGTGGGCCAGGCTGGCGCATCCTCAGGTTGTTCGGGGGTGTTCCTCCTCCTGGTTATTTTTAGGGCCTGACAGGGGGAGCCCGAAGCTTCCTGGCGGCTGGAGAAGCTCCGAGTGGCAGACTGTGGGTTACGGAAGGGCTCTACCAACCAACCAACTACCCGGGCCTGCTCCCCTTGCACAGAATGGAGAAACTGAGGCTGGGTGGGGGGAGTAGCAGAGCAGGGCAGGAGTGATCCTGGCCTACTGCCTGTGGCTGAACCTGCCTGACCAGCGAGGGGAGCAGAGGCCAGGCGAGGCCGGAGTCTTGCTTCTCTTCGGGCCCCTTGTGGGCGGCTCTGAGCAGACCCAGCTGGGGACTCAGAAGGTCTCACTGGGCAGGCCACGGTGGAGGAGATTGATTGCGGGGGTCAGGGACCAGGGAGCAGGGCCACGGACGGTATCTGTCAGGGGCTGCCTGGCTGCCTGACATGTCAGACACCGTCAGACACTCGGGAGCCCTCACATTTGCCAGCAGAGCCTTCGGTCCTGGTCCTGGGAGGAGGGCTGTAGGAGTGGACAGGAGCCTCAGCAGGGCTCGGGGTGGCACTCCTGGCTGGCAGAGGCTCCGGAGCAAGCCTGGAGCGGGAATTGTCTTTGCTCTTCTCTGAGGGCTGGTGAGGCGGGTGAGCAAGCCGAAGAACCCAAGAGATGGAGCAGTGGAGCTCAGACCGGCCCAGGCTGCCCTGACAGCGGTGGGGAGGGCCAGTCAGCGGGGAGGAAGGAGGCCGAAGAGCAGAATGCGCCTGGGCAGCAGGAACAATCTCATTCTGCAGCACAAGGCACGGAGCTTTGATGTCCAAGGACTTCCTGACAGGAAGTCTGTTTGTGGAATGGGGCCTGGCATGGAGCTTGGCGGGGAAGGCTCTGGGCCCCCAGAGGCAAGGCCGCTGGGGAAGGGTGTGGAGGACACGGGGCTTCCCCATTCCTGCCCTGGGTGTGCTGGTGATGGGGGTGGGAGGGCAGATCGGCGAGGAAGCGCTCCCCCGGCACCCCGGAGGGTGGACGCCCTGAGCATCCAGCGCCTGGGGGCCACCATTCCTGCCAGCTCCTCCCCGGCGGATGCAGACTCCACTCACCATCTTTAAGCACCCATCCTTTACCCAGAGGCCTTCAGCCCATGAGGGCCGGGGGAGGAGGAGCTGAGACCAGAGATCCATAAACAGCTTCACAGTGATGGCGACCACAGCAGCTGCTGCCTTGTGACCTCCTGTCACAACCGTGGGTGTGGACATCGCCATCATCACCACCGCCCCCCACCAATATCACCACCATCACCACTATCATCACCACCACCACCACCACCATCACCATCACCACCATCACTACCATCACCACCACCATCACCACCACCATCACCATCACCACCATTACCACCATCACCACCATTACCACCATCACCACCATCACCACCATCACCACCATTACCACCATCACCACCACCATCACCACCATCATCACCACCACCATCACCACCACCACCACCATCACCACCATCACCACCACCATTACCACCATCACCATCATCGTTACCATCACCACCACCACCACCATCACCACCATCACTACCATCACCACCACCACCACCACCACCACCACCATCACCACCGCCCCCCCATCACCACCGCTATCCCATCTATTAGGTTAAATTACACAAATAGGGTATTAGTAAGACCAAGGAAGAATGAAATTTAACAAACAAGTCCCAGGTAACCTGAGACACATAAGTACAGACCGTAGGAATGGAACAAATGGCAGCTTAGCAAACTTGAAAGACAGGATTGCCCTGTAGAGAAAAACTCCAGGCTAGTCAATAAAGGAAAAGTCTAGAGCTAAAGGCCTGGGAAAATAGGGGGTTAAACACCGAGTTGCTGGAATTTGGTAAATAATAGTGAAACTCGGAAAGGGCCAGGGAACCTGGAGGGTGGTTTGACTTTGAGTGTGATAAGTAAGAAATGTTCTTGTCAATACCAGTTAAACCCCAAACCAGGAACTGAGCAAAGGGAAGCTCTGGGATGTGAGCTTTGCCTGGATGACTCATTGGCCTTGCTTACTGGAACTGTAGTCACCATCTGCAACCACTAACTGATAGCCCTGCTTCTGTAGCTCGCTTCTTTGCCCAGTGGCTGCACTGGCCACCTGTGAGTGGCTCTGCATGGTTTTCTCCTTGCCCCCATTTTGAGCTCAGGGCTCTTCTTCCCTGTCCCAATAGTGGGGAGCAGTCGCCATATGGCTAACAAAGATTCCTAGCCCAATTGACTGAGTGTTGGTGACTCCTTTCGCGGATCATGGGTTGGAGTCCCACTGGCCCTGGGAAGCTGGCATACTTCCCATCATCACCACCACTACCGCCATTTCCACCACCACCATCCACCTCACTCCACGGCTACGCCATCGCCACCAACACTAACTTCACATCACCCATCTCCCTCACAACCATCACCACCACCACCATGCCTCACCACCATTACCACCACCACCACCACCACCACCACCACTACCCTCACCACTACCCCCTCACAGTCACCACCCCTGCCATGGCCACCACCATTACTACCATCATCACCACCCTCACATCACCGGCAGCATCTTCACCCTAGAATCCCACCTTCAGCCCCTAAGCACTCCATCGCTGTGATCCCCACATTCTCAGACCCGGTGTACGGGGTGCTGATGGCAGACACAGGGTGTCAGGAAGGAGGTTGTTGAAAGGATGGCCCGGGGACGTGAGGCTACCACCTGTGAGGGAGTTCCAGGAGTATCCGAGAAGATCTTAGACACGTGGGCAGCTCTGGAGTCCACAGGACAGGAGAAGCCAGTGGGTCCAGAACATGGATGAGTCCAGTGGGGCCTTGCCTGGATGCCCTCCAGTGGGGCCTTGCCTGGCATCAGTGAGTCCGGGGGGCCTTGCCCAGCTGTCCTCTTGCATACAGGCAGGGAACAGCAGTTTCTGGGATGAGTCAGAGCAAGGCGGCCATGAGCACTGAGCATGTGTGAGCTGTGGCCCAGGGAGGATGTGGGGCTTCTCCTGGCACACATGGCCTTCTGGGAAGTTGGGGAAGAAGGTGGGCTGGGGTGGGAGGAGGACTCGTCATCTGAACATAGTGCCTTGTGGTAACCGAGCCCTGAGCCCCCAGCCCAGGGTTCGGCCACCCGACCATCCTCCAGCCTGCAGCAGCGTGTGGCTCAGGACACATTTGTCTGGTGACATTTCTCCTGTTAGATGTACTGCTGGGTGTGGCAGGGACAGCGTTGGTCTGGAGTCTGCCCACACATGCCTGGGACACAGGTGGGCCAAAGCAAATCTGGGGCCTCCAGCCCTGGCACCGGGCAAGGGCCTGGGACACTGACCTTTTTCCACCAGGCCCAGCAGCTCCCAGCATGCTTCTCCAACGATGAGAGGACAAGGAAGGGACCAACGCCACAGCCACCAGAGAAAATGCTCTGTCAGGTGTGGCTGTAACGCAGGGCCTCTGGGTTTCAAAGGCAGCGTGTGTGGACCCGGGCACACCGCACTGCACATGGGCCAGGGCCACCTAGGTTTGGGTCATGTTTTGTTGCACAATACCACTCAAACATGCTAGGGTTTTTGGAATCTGAGGGTCAGGGATAGTGCCGGGCCTGCACTGGCCACCTCTGGGGCTGATGTGGACAGGGTGCCACCTGGGGGTGCTCCTGGTCACTCACGGCTATGCAGATTGCCGGACAGTGCTCCCTTCCCCATCCATGTGGCCCAATCCCGATCTGAGGGAGGGGGTGACCCATCTGCCCCGAGTGCACAGGGTTGGAGTCCCAGCAGAGGGGGTGAGGCACGGCTAGCACACCAAAGGCACCATGCCAGGCCAGAACCCTCTTTGGGCTCACCTTGGCATTTGGTTTTGGATGATGTGCTTGGGTGTGGGGGACTCTGAACGGCCTGCTCTGCACACCTCTCTCCTCGGGGCTTCTGAAATCAGGATCCAGCTCAAGCTGGTGTGCAGAGCCTGGCAGGGTCTGCCCTCTGCCCATGGAGGCCCAGATCTGTAGTCCCAGGTACCTCAGGGTAGAGACAGCCTGGCTGACATGGTCACACACACGCGTGTGCACACACACATACAGGTGTGCAAGGCACATGCACGCATGTGCATGCACACACACACACATACTTGTGCACACATGCACACAGACTTCATGGGCATCAGTCCATCAGCCTCCGGGCCTCTAAGCTCACGGCTCACCCAGTCAGGCTGAGAGGCTCAGGCTGCCCCCTGCTGGGGATATGGAGAAAAGCACCAAAAGCTGCTCACTCTCCGTGCATTTCCTTTGAGCATTTCAGGTTTTGTTTTTCTTCCAGGGTGCTCGGAGCACATGCTGCCCCTCTGCTGAGGATGGAGGAAGGAAGGCAGGGGCACCAGCCCTGGGTACGGGGCACAGGATGGCAGGCCTGAGTGGGCAGGAGAGGGTCCCTTTGCCTTGGGGCAGAGGAAGACCGCACACAGAGAGGGCTGGGTTTTTAGTTCTTTTTATTGAAGAAAAGAAAAGGAGAGAAAAAATAGATTCCCCACCCCGCTTCTTCCCGGAGCAGGCTTCGTCCTGCCCCTGGGGCCTGGGCCGGGGCTGGGGTCTCCCCCCCAGGCCTGGCAGGGGTCCAGGGCCCTGGAAGGGAGGGGGGGTCTGGCTGCTTCCCAAGGGGTGAGGGGTGTCTAAAAAACGGAGCCAGGCTGGCGGGCCACAGGCAGTCCCCTGCAGCGGAGCCCGAGGCAGGCATCCTAGGAGGGCTGGCCACACCAGGCCTGCCCGTGTCCACCGCCGCCCGCCCGCCGTCCGCTGGGGCTCGCCCAAGGAGGGCAGAGTCTGAGGCACCTTCCTGCCTCTGGAACCCTGTGCCGGCCGGGCCGGGCCGCCTCCTGTCCTGCGTCTGGCGCTGGTCCCAGCACGGCCGACCCTTCGCCTGGCCACCTCCGGACGCCGGGCCCGGGCCTGGCTGCCACGGTGAGTGGGTGTCGCCCGTCTGTGGCTGGTGCGGGCAGAGCAGCATCCCTCCGGGCCCGGCGCGGGGCCGCGCCTGCCCGCTCAGACCTCGGTCTGGAGGTCGATGATGTCCTGGCCCACCAGTGGGATGGTGGCGCCGGCCTTCTCCCACTCCACGCTGCGCAGCTCCAGCGGCGATGGGGGTAGGGGCTCCAGCTCCTTCTTCACCCAGGCCGGCGTGCTGTGTGTGCCGTGCGTGCCGTGCGGCTTCCGGAGGCTCTCCCAGGCCCGCTTGTTGGGTGTCTGCTGCTTGTCTGGCTGCGGTGGCGCGGGGGAGGCAGGGTGAGGAGGGGAAAGGAGGGTTCAGCGAGGGAGCTGCGGGTGGAGTCAGGGACCCGGGCTCCGGGGAGGGGCGGCTGCCCACCCTGAGCCCCGCCCGGCCCACGCGAGGGGATGGGTGAGTGACCCGGAGGGCGGGGGAGGGCTCCCAGCCAGGGGCTCCCACGGGCACCCTCCACCCGCCGCAGACCTTGCCCTCCTGGCCCAGGGCCTCCTTGTCCTTCTCGGCCGCGTGCTGCAGCTTGCGATTCAGGTCCTGGAACAGGTCCTGGTGCCGTTTGCGTGTGTGCATGATTTTCTGTGGAGGGGACAGTGACCTGAGACTAGAGGGCACAGCCCACCCCACCTCTGCCCTGCCTGAGGCTGCCTGGGCCTCGCCCCTCCCCAGCCCTGCCCAGGGGCTGGCCCCTCCCCGGCCCTGCCCAGGGGCTGGCCCCTCCCTGGCCCTGCCCAGGGGCTGGCGGAGCCGCCAGCTGAGCGGCCCCACAGGTATGTGGGGGAAGGGCAGCACCCACCTCGAAGTCCAGCTCTGCATACCGCGACTTGCGCCTCTGTGGAGAGAAAGGGTCTGTGTTGTATGTAGGCAACGGTTCCCCAAAATGCCCATCTGAGCACTCGGAGAGCTGGCCATGGGACTGAAACCCACCCAGAGAAGCCGGGCTGCCCTCTCCCCATGAGACTGCTGGGGCCAGAGGGAAACAGCTGGTGGTGACAGGCCCAGGGCCTCTCCCCAACAGTGCCCTTCTGCCCTGGGATGGGCCGATGCCCCCTCTCCCCAGGGCACCTCCTCTCCCATATCTAGGACCTGTTACCTCAAGCTGGCCCCTCGGTCTGCATACCACATGCCATGGCCAGCACACAAGCCGGGCAAGGACGTGCCACCCGACCGGCTCAGAGCATGCCACCCAATAGGCAAGGGCTTATGCTTGGGGCCACGTGGCAGAGCCCAGCCAGCAATAAGCCTGGGCCAGGGCTGTACCGCCAGCAGCCGGGAGCTGGGCAGCAGAGCCTGTCCTGAGCCAGGGCAGGGCCAGAGGCTGTGCCTCGCCTCGGCCTGGGTCTCGCGTCCTGTGGGCTGGAGATCAGGAGCTCCGGTGGACGTAAGCAGAGACGCACTGCCCTGCCGGGCGTCCAACGGTGCAACGGAGCAGATTCAGCCACAGGCCAAGGCCACAGAGCACCAGCCGCCCTGGTGCTGGCTGCCTGCCGTCCTCGTCACCCTGACCCTCAGGCCCACCACACCCAGGGGCGGCCTGGCCCCTCATCCGGGCCCTGTCCTGGCCCCCCTCACCTCCAGGGAGCTCACGGACAATGTGGCAACGTTCTCATTCTTAGTCCCAGCCGCAGAGCTGGGTCCTGGGTGGACGGCCGGCTCTCCTGTGTCCCCCAGGCTGGAAGGTGCTGGCTCCAGGGTGGGAGGTGGGGGTAGGGGCTGCTGGGGCAGCGGGGGCGGCGGGGGTGGGGGTGGCGGGGGCTGGACGGGGGGCACTTCGGGGGGCCCGCTGCCCGGCGGCTCCCGCGAGGGCGGGCTGCGGGTGGGGAAGCTGGCGTCGGGCGCCATGCTCAGGTGGATGAGCCGCGTCTGGGGCATCTGGTCGATGTTGATGCTGTACTTGGGCTCCTCCTTGGGCTTGGGCCGCAGCGTGGCCGTGGCCGTGGGCAGGATCACGTAGCTCGTGTCCAGAGCCTTCTCCTGGGCCCGGCTCAGCTCTGAGTCCAGCTTCTTGAAGATGTCCCCGTCGCCGATGAAGGAGGACTTGGGTGCCTTTTCTTTCTTGAGGGTCAGCGAGTGGGTGGGGAAGTCGGGCAGCGGCCCGCCGGGGTAGCGGGGAGAGCCGTGCAGGTGCAGCTTGGACACGTTGGCCGGCAGGCTGTTGAAGGTGGGGGGCGGCCCCTTGGCCAGCTTCAGCTTCTCCTCCTCGGGCAGCGACGGCCGCTTGAGCGTGCCCGTGATGGTGGCCGTGCGGCAGGCAGCGATGTCCTTGTTCAGCACTGAGGGCGGCAGGCACGGGCAGCGGGGTCAGGGCGCGGCTGCCGCTCCGGCTCCCCACCAGACGCCCCACCCTGGCGCCCGCCCTGCCCCCGGTCCTGGGTGCTTTGTCTTCCCAACAGGGCTGGCCGGTGAGGTGCTCCTCTGCTGGCCTCCGCCAGTGCGGAGGGTGACTCCTACCAGAACCGCAGGCCGGACTCTCACAGCAAGGAGCGGGGAACCCGGGAGGAGGGGGTGCCGGGCCCCGGGTGCACAGCCGTCAGGGGACTTGGAGCTTGGCATCGAGCCCAGCCCAGCCCCCAGCGGCACTCGGGCCCTGCACCTCTGGCAGGCTGCGCTGGCCAGCCAGGAGCAGGGGCCCGGTCCATGGCCCTGAGGCCACCTAGACCCAGAAGAGGCTCCTCTCCCAGGCCTCTGGCAGTCCACTTTCTCAGACTACCTGACCTCTGACCTGACTCCTGCAACCACCTGACATCTGCTTCTTGTCAGTCAATCGGGCCCCCCCTGGCGGCCGAGCACTGAAGCTGCCCACGCCCCGGGCGCCCAGGCTGGCACTCTGTGTACTTCCTTCCCTCTATGGCTCCACTTCTTTCCGAGCAGCTCTCCCAGTCTCCTGGCCCCATGGTCCACCCCTGCTGGCTCAGCCTGGCTCCCAAACCACACCCGGCACCAGCCCTGAGCCGCCCTAGCTCCCTTCATGGTGTCAGCAGCTGACCTTGGTTGCCCACCACCTCCTCGCTGCCCAGGGCAGGGCCACTCGCCTGCCCGTGGGCCCTTCCCACTGCTCGGGAGCTCCTCTTCTTCCCCACCCTCAGGATGGCAACCCCGGCCTCGCCTGCACCTCCCCACAGCCATCTTCCCGGGGGCCCCTTCCTGGGGGCCAGGGTCATCCCAGACACCCAGCCCTAGGGCGCCGAGTGGTGGGTCATCTGCACCCAAGGCCTGCGGCCTCCCGTCTCTGCTTGTCCTGTGAGCAGGCTGTGGCTGGGTGTGGTGCCCGCTGTCCCGGCTCCTCCCAGACCCATCCCTCGCCCCCCACGCAGGGCTTGGGCCTGCACAGGTAACCACAGCACAGCTGCCGCTCTGCGCCTGCCGCTTCAAGTGGCACATAGGCAGGGCCTGCTGGCCCTGAGCCGTGGGGACCCCTGGGAGACCGTGGGGCTGGGTCACTGGACACTGGAGGGAAGAGTCTCTGCCCGCTCCGAGGCCACTCCCCCAGGAGGCCTTCTGGGACCGCCAGAGCATCGCAGACCTCTGCCTGGAGCTGCTCCAGCCCCACTCCGTGCTGCCTCTGAGGAGGGGACCCTTCCGTGCCTGACCGACAGACATGCCAGGGAGCTTCCATGCAACACGTGGGCTGTCTCCTGAGCGCCCCCCCCAATCCTGCCGCGAGTCCTTTTGTTGTGCTTGCTTCCAGGAAGCTCAGCACTAGGCTAGGAGCCCAGTGACCAGTCCTGTCCTCTGCCTTCCCGCAGCGCCCGCTGCTGTCTCTCCACCTAAAGCCTGGTCGGCCCCTTCCCCACACGCAGACCAACAGCGAAGAAATGGAGCGGACACGGAGCGTGGGTGAGCGACAGACCGGAGGCAGGTGCTGAGGGGGTGGAGGGGGTGGGGCGGGCGGCCAAGGTCTCTTCACAGCTTGCTGCCTCCCCCCATGAGGAGGGGCAAGGGAGGGCAGGAGGACAGAGGGGGCAGACCAGGAGGGTAGAGAGGAGAGGGCAGGAGGGGAGAGTGGTGGAGGGCAGGGCTACACTGGCCCCTAGGAGTGCACAGACCTCCTGCAGCCTCAGTCGGGACCAGGCCCAGCCGGGGCCCTGGCTTGGCCCACATGACAGACAGCCACGGATGGGACAGACGACAGACACACGACCGCGCAGAAAAGAGAAGGAAGCAGGTGAGCCGGCTTGGCCACCCTGCGCTCTCACCTGTCAGGCGCTCACCTGATCTACAGGCCAGATCCACGTCCTTCTCAAAGTCAGTCTGCAAGACAGAGACAGTGGGAAGGGTGAGTGCAGGGCCCAGCCAGGAGCTGCCACCGCGGAGCCACAGCCACACCTGTGCGTGCACCTGCGTGCCACTGTGGAGCCACAGCCACACCTGTGTGTGCACCTGCGTGCCACCACGGAGCCACAGCCACACCTGTGCGTGCACCTGTGTGCCACCGCAGAGCCACAGCCATACCTGTGCGTGCACCTGCGTGCCACTGCAGAGCCACAGCCACACCTGTGTGTGCACCTGCGTGCCACCACGGAGCCACAGCCACACCTGTGCGTGCACCTGTGTGCCACCGCAGAGCCACAGCCACACCTGTGCGTGCACCTGCGTGCCACCGCAGAGCCACAGCCACACCTCCTGTGCGTGCACCTGTGTGCCACCGCAGAGCCACAGCCATACCTGTGCGTGCACCTGTGTGACTGCCCACAACTGTGAGGCAGCCCACGCGGGTGTGCACTGTGCTGTGCCCCCAAGAAGGCCGGTCCATGTTTATGGCCTATCAGGAGGCCACACCCTGCATTCACACGAGTGCTCACGAGCGTGCGTGTGTGTCTGTGGCACACCCAGGAGGCCCTGCCCCTGCATTTACACGAGTGCTTGTGAGCATGCATGTGCGTGTCCGTGGCACACCCAGGAGACCATGCTCCCTCATTTACACAAATGCCCGCCAGGAAGTCACACCTCCGCATTCATATGAACACTTGTGAACATGCATGTGCATATCCACGGCCCACCAGGCCACACCCCTGCATTCACACAAGTGCTCATGAGCTTGCATGTGTGTGTCCACAGCCTGCCAGGAGGCCCCTGCATTCACATGGGTGCTCATGTGTGTACATGTGCACATCCACAGCCTGCCCACGAGCTGTGCCCCAGCACTCACATGAGTGCTCACAAGTGTGCACATGCATGTCCATGGCGTGCATGTGCAGGTCCATCGCCCACCAGCAGGCCACATTTCTGCATTCACACAAGTGCTTGTGAGCGTGCACATGCGTGTCTACAGCCCACTCACGAGGCCATACCCCCACGCATTCACACGAGCTCTTGAGAGCTTGCATGTGCTGGGCGTGTGGTGCGTGACTCCCCGTGCCCGTGGCCTTTCACGGTGTGCATGTGTACCCGGGTATCTGCATGCTCATGGTGTGCATGCGTGTATACTGCACCTTCAAAGGTGAGTGCATGTTCATAGTGTATGTTCACATGTGTGTGCGTGTTTGAAGTGTGTATGTGTGTGCACCCATGCCTTCATGGGTGTCTGCACATTCACAGTATGCATGTGTATCCCACCTTCACAGTGAACGTCTGCAGGTTCACGGTGTACGTGTGTACCTGTGTCATTGCAGGTGTCTGCATATGTGACATGAATTGTGAGGCATGTGCTGTGGCTTACACATGTGCAAGCTCCTGTTTATGTATATTTGCATGCATGAGTGAATTGCATGTGTTTGTGTGAACACACACGTCCTCTGAGGCCCGTGGAGTGGCTGGCGTCCAGCCATCTGGCTGCAGCAGGGCTGCTGGCTGTGGGGAGAGCTCAGGCAGAGCCCTGGTCCCCACCACAGCTCGGGACAGCAGTGGAGAGTGGGGACAGGCAAAGGTGGGGAGCAGCAGTGCTCCTCACACGGGGGGGAGGAGGCAGTGCTCCCCACACTGTGAGCCCATCTAGAGACCTAGCGCCTCACTGCAGGGTCCTTCCCTGCAAAGGCAGGAGTCAAGCTGTCTGGAAGATCAACATAGTCTTCCCTGAGGTCAGAGGTTAGGCTGGAGAAATGTCAGCGACAGGGAAGCTGTGTGCTCAAGAGTGTCCAATCCCCCAATACCTGTTTCCTTCTAGACAGAGATGCTGAGGTCCAGGGAAGGGCCTCCTCAGGGCAGAGCCAGGACAAGGCTGGGGGCGGGGGAGGACCCGCACCCCTCCTGAGCCTCCAGGCATGTGAACCAGGGTGGAAGCAGCCCTCTAGTGAGGGGTGGGGAAGGTCGGGTGAGTGGACTGTCTGGACTGCAGGGCCCAGGGCCACTGGGCAGGGAGTGGCAAGTCATACAGGAGCCCGGTGCCAGGGTGGCCTGGGTGAGGCCCGGGGTGGGGAGGCCCCGTGCAGCCGGCGTAGGCACAGCCCTGTCCACACTCATCATCTCGGCCCACACCAGCCCTACACCTGGCCCAGGGGTTTCACCTCGGCAAGCCTCAGTTTCCGTAACTGTAAACCAGGTCTAATCCAGGCTCAGGGGGAATGTGGAGGCCCCACCGGGCAGCGTGGCGCCTACACTCCCCAGCCCCAGTCCTACCATGAGCTGGGCATGGCCGTTCTGGAAGGAGCCACCTGAGTCCCCGTTGCCTTCCTCCTGGCGGTCCACCACGCGGCACTTCACAGCGTCCTGGACCTGGGGAGGGCGGGGGTGTCAGTGGGCCCTGCAGGGGGCAGCACCCCACACTGGCCGCAAGAAGTGCCACCCATGGCTCGGGGGAGGGGAGAAGGGTCAGTGACGCGTCCACTCGGGTTCTGGGCTTTCCTGAGAGCCCATCAGGATCAACTGCACCCCAGCGTCCCCAGCATTCTTTGGCATGTCCCTGGGGATGACATGTCCAGTTAAGGGACATCATTTCCCAGGGACACGGCCGTGGGGAGGGGCTGGGGCCGGCCATTCAGCCAGGACAGGGATTGTCAACAGGAGGCGGAGACCAGATATCCAGAGGGGTCTCCACAGGAGGAAGGACAGGGGAACAGCGGTCACCCCAGGCCCAGTGCTAGGGCCCACAGTGAGTGACTCCCAGGGGCTGCGGGGAATGTGGGGCCTCTTGGCCTCCCCCCTCTGGATTTCCTGACCGTGACACTGCATGCAAGTCCCACTCTGGGAGCCAGGCCACCGCGGGGCCACTCTTCCCTGTCAAGGTCATCCGTCTGACCTGCTGCTCCTGCGCTCCTCTGCGGGCCTATGGACTCCGCCGTCAAGCTCTTTTAGAACTCTCCAGTCTCTATCTGGGGGTGGAAGGTGTCCCCTCCAGGGGAGTTCCCAAGCCCCTTCTCTCCCCAGGATGTTTTCTGGAGGCTACCCAGTTCTGTTTCGGGAGGCCAGGGAGGGGGCAGAGGCGAGAGTGTGGCCTCTGGACAGACGGGCAGCGGAAAGTGCGGTGGGGCCAGCCTGAGCCTCTGCCGGGGCCCGGCTGAATGCGGTGGGGCCAGCCTGAGCCTCTGCCGGGGCCCGGCTGAGTGCGGTGGGGCCAGCCTGAGCCTCTGCCGGGGTCTGGCTCAGTGCCGCGGAGCCAAGGTGGCTGCGGCCACGGTGTCTCCTGGGGTGGGGGGAGGCCTCAGAGCTCCGGCTCCCTCCTGCCTGCAGTCTGCCTCCGGGTGGGCTCAGTGGCTGTCCCTGCTCCCACCTTTCAACCCCAACGGCAGCCCCGTGAGCACGTGAGGGGCTGTGGGCTCTGCCACAGGGGCACTGTGTGGCTGGGCCTCAGGAACTTCAGGCTCTCTTCCTCCCTGGGAGCAGGCCCCGGCAGGGACGGACCCAGGCGCCCAGCTCCCTGACCTGCAGAGGACAGGAGCACGGGAGGATGGGGAGATGCCGCCGGACTCCCAACATCCCTGCCTCCTGCAGCTGAGGCCACTGGCTGTTTTGCCCATGAGCCTCTGAAAACTCCCACAGCAGGGTTCTAGGAAGTTCCAGGAAGAAAGGGAGTGAAGCCCCTCTGCCCTCAGCATCCTAACTGGCTGCTAGGGGAGCCACAGTCCCCCAGTGCGTCCATCTCTGAGGTCCAGACACATCTCCCTCATTACTCCCCCTTAACTCCCTCATTACTGCTGGCCTTCAGGACAGTTTGGTGAGAACCCAATATTGGCATTTTCTGGAAAGCTCCAGAAACTTCCAGAAGCACCTGCCCTGGGCCTCCTGCTCCACAAACCTCATGAAGATGGGGCTGTCTGCCCCATGCGTGCTGGAAGATGCCCTGACCATGCACCCGGCCGGTTGTCTGCGGGGGGCCAGCGCCGCCTCCCCCCGCCCCCGTGGGATGCTCGCGCCCACCTCTCTCCGCAAGATGCAGTGCACCATCACAATGACGAAGCCCTCCAGAGAGTCGAAGACGGCAAAGAGGATCTGGAAGAGGGCGGAGCGGCGGTCGGTGACCGCCAGCACAGCAGACATCCAGGTCAGCGCCAGCAGCGGCAGGACCACACAGGAGCTCCACAGGGAGGCCCTGGGGACGGAGCGCGTCAGCTGCAGGCACCCCCCGCCCCACGGCTCCTCCTGCCCAGCTCTGCCCTCCCCCTTCCCGAGACCCTCCCTCCATCCCAGACCTGGGGGCTGCAGCAGAGATCGGCAGTGCCCATGGACTCAGGGGCTCAGGAGGGTAGACCCCCCCCCGAGCCCCGGCAGGGCCAGGGAGCAGGTTCTCAGGGAGAGACTCGGGCCCCTGACTATCTAGAAGCCGGGACAGGGATGTGGACTGGAAGGGGACGGGATCCTGGGAGCCGGGTGGGGCGCCGAGACCCCTTGGTTCCAACCTCCAGGGCTCAGGTCCCACATGGCAGGGCAAGATGGCCAAAGGAGGAGGCATGCTGGCCAGGCCACAGCGGGAGAGCGAGGAATGTGGAGAAAGGGAGGGGCAGAAAGCTGAGGGGAGACAGGACAGACAGTGGACGGGACAGCTGGACAAGGCCAGGGGGTCAGAGGAGGCCAACACAGACAGAAACACAGCGGACAGGCGTTTCCTCCCCTCCGGGACCCCCCTTCCCGGGCCTCCAGTGCCCTATCAGTCACCTGTGGGTCCACCCTGGGTGTCCCTACCCCTCAGGCAGCCCCCCACTCCCCCCGCCTGGCTACACACTCGCTGCCAGATGGGCACGGTGGGCGCAGGTGCTCAGGAAATGTGCCCTGGTCCTGACTCAACACCATCATGGATGTCAGAGGCCTCTTTCATTGGAGAACCACCCCCAGCACGCCCAGGGGGGCATGCCTGCCCCTGCCTGGTCCCCAGCAACACTTATTCCTCTCATGGTCACCCCTCCATCCCCTCCAAAGAGGTGGAGGAGCAAACAGCTCTGTCTGATACCACCCACACTGGCCCCACCTCTTGAGGAGCTGGGGTGGCAGGTGTGGTGCCCAGCTTGCCCTCATCTCCTGACCTCAGTGGTCAGCACAGCCCACCTAGCTGTCCCTTCACCTTGACCCCAGCCCAGCCAGCCCGGCTTTGGTCCTGTTCCGGTGACCCTGTCCTGGTGAGCTGCCAGTCTCGCTGCAGTGTCCCCACCCGACTCAGCTGCCGCTGCCTCCCCGGCTCCGCCCAGCCAAGGCCTCCTGGGTCTCAGACTCAGCCCTGCGTGTTCCCTGCCACTGAGGCTGGGTGGGTGGGGCAGTGGCCTGCAGAGCTGCGGTGGGCATAGGGGCTTACAAAGCCCACACATCACCACCTTTGACCAACGCCCCTCTCGGCCTCCGTCCCCCCTCCAGGTCAGCGGGCCCCTCATCCCCTTGCTTCACTTGGGAAGCTATGGCCCTCACTCCCTCCTGGCCTGCCCCTGCGTCTTCTCTGACTCCCAACAGGGGCCAGGTGTGCGGCTGACATCTTCAGACTAGCAGCTGGCCTGCGGCCGGGGGGGGGTCTGTCAATGACTCCCCCGAGTGCACTGCTTCCACAGTGGGGCTGTGTGGGGTGCAGGCAAGCACAGAAAGATCTGGAAAGGTGCACAGCAGCCCGACATGAAAGGAGCCAAGAGCTGCTGAAGGAAGGTTGGGGTGGGGGCCCGGGTCACTGCCCCCACTGCTCATGTGTGTGTGCAGGAGCTCCACACACCCTGCTCAGGGGGGTCCAGCCCTCAGGCCCCTGACTTCCTGGGGCAGAGGGTCATGGGGGCTCTAGGAGCAGCTGCAATGCTTGCTGGGCCCACACCCATGTCCCACAGGGAACCCTGGACTCAAGCCCAGCGGGGAGCAGGCATGGAGGGGCCAGCGCCCAGGATGCCATTACTCTGACTCGAATATTTGCAAGTCACATACACAGTGCCTTATCCACGTGCACACGCTCACACATGTGCACACACCATCACTCACACCCATGCCCCATGCGCACACTTGCCCACTTGAGTTCTCATAATATTCTCCATGCATGTACTCTCCATGTGTGGACTCTGCACATGCCGAGTCTCCCACCTGTGCCCCTGACCACACATGCACACACCTGCACGCAGTCAGGTGCACACACTGCATGCTTGCACTCACATAGGCTCACTGCTCACGCATGCACACACCTGCACGCAGCCAGTCACATGCATACACTGCAAGCTTGCTCTCACATAGGCTCACTGCCCACACATGCACACACTGCATGTTTGCACTCACATGGGCTCACTGCCCACACCTGCACGCAGCCAGTCACATGCACACACTGCATGCTTGCTCTCACATAGGCTCACTGCTCACACATGCACATACCTGCACGCAGCCAGTCACATGCACACACCTGCACGCACTCACATGTACACACTGCAAGCTTGTACTCACAGAGGCTCACTGCCCACACATGCACACACCTGCACGCAGCCAGTCACATGCACACACTGCAAGCTTGTACACACACAGGCTCACAGATCACACATGCACATACCTGCACGCAGCCAGTCACATGTACACACTGCATGCACTCACATGTACACACTACATGCTTGCTCTCACATAGGCTCACTGCCCACACATGCACACACTGCATGCTTGCACTCACACACTGCATGCTTGCACTCACAGGCTCACTGCTCACACATTCACACATCTGCACACAGCCAGTCACATGCACACACTGCATGGTTGCACTCACACAGGCTCACTGCTCACACATGCACACACCTGCATGCAGTCAGGTACACACACTGCATGCTTGTACTCACACAGGCTCACTGCCCACACATGCACACACCTGCACGCACTCACATGTACTCACTACATGCTTGCACTCACATAGGCTCACTGCTCATACATGCACACACCTACATGCAGTCACATGCACACACCTGCACACAGCCAGTCACATGCACACACTGCAAGCTTGCACTCATACAGGCTTACTGCCCACACATGCACATACCTGTACACAGTCAGGTACACATACTACATGCTTGCACTCACACAGGCTCACTGCTCACACATGCACACACCTGCACGCAGCCAGTCACATGCACACAGTGCATGGTTGCACTCAGGCTCACTGCCCACACATGCACATACCTGCACACTGCACACAGTCACATGCACACACCTGCATGCAGCCAGTCACGTGTACACGCTGCACACTTGCACTCAGGCTCACTGCCCACATATGCACACACCTGCACACAGTCATGTGCACACACTGCATGCTTGCTCTCACACAGGCTCACTGCTCACACATGTACACACCTGCATGCAGTCACATGCACACGCTGCATGCTTGCTCTCACATAGGCTCACTGCCCACACATGCACACGCCTGCACGCGGCCAGTCATGTGTACTTGCTGCACACTTGCACTCACACAGGCTCACTCAGCTCCAGAACGCCCTCTCACACACACTTGCTGGGGACACTGCCTCTCAGCAGGCTGAGTGCAGGGGAGGGCGCTCGGGGTGCAGTGCACAGACCTGCCCACCCCCACTTGTGTCAAGTGCCTCCCTCAGCCTGGCACTCAGAGGACAGGAGCCGGAGGCAGAGGACAGGGCGCTGCCCCCCAACCCTGACGGGAATGGCTGAAATGAAAGCAAATAAAGAAAAAATATAAAACAAAGAAATCTGACTTTGGAGAGTGCGGACTTGCAGGGCTGCCTGGTGGGGGGGGGTGGGCACTAGTGAGGCATTCCTGGTAGCGTGGGAGGGAGGTGGCGTGGGAGGGAGGTGGCGTGGGACATGGGGAGGCTCCACGCTCAGCACACGGGAGTGGGCGCACAGGCGGCCAACTGTCAGGGAAATCAAAAGGCTGAAGCGAAAGCAAACTGGGCAACAGAAAAGTGCAAAACCAGCTAGGCGGCTGCAGCTCTCGGCCAGCTGAGAGACCCAGTCTAGGGTGTGGGGCGCATGTGGACAGGGGACCCAGGGCTGGAAGGCAAGGCAGGCAGCCTGAGCTGCAGGTGCCGGTGTCTGGCTGACTGCGGCTCTCACACGTACACAGAGCAGCAGGCCCCCAAAGAAGCCCATGCCACCGCTTCGTCCTGTGCAGCTTTATCTGTGTGGCCACCCTATGAGGACAGGCCCGGCTGCCAGCGCTGTGAAGGGCTCATCAGAAGGGGGGCCCTTCCGCCTTCATCTGACCTGGGCAGCACGTCCTGCAGGTGTAACTGCGAGGTGCACGTACGCATGACCAGGGTGCCTGTCTGTGCCAGGAGAGGGTAGCTACCAGCCCAGAGCGTCCACAGTGAGTTCCTGCACACCCTCCACCCGCTAGTCACACTCCTAAACCTCAGTTTACCCAGCTGGAAGACAGAAACAGAAAACAGAATGTGTCTCGATGGTTACTCTAAGAGCAGGGCACAAAGATGGGCTGGGGAGTGCTCGGCACACCACAGCCCTGACGGCTAGAGCGGCTGCAGTCTGTGGGCTGTGTGGCGTGGGGCCCAAACGTGGAGTGCTGGGGCCTCTTTGGAGTGTGTCCAAGGTCCCGCAGTGGTGTGGGAGGGGGGCAGGTGTCCCGCAGTGGTGTGGGAGGGGGGCAGGTGTCCCGCAGTGGTGTGGGAGGGGGGCAGGTGTCCCGCAGTGGTGTGGAAGGGGGGCAGGTGTCTCACAGTGTGTGTGTGGCAGGTGTCCTGCAGTGTGTGTATGTGTCAGGCATCCCGCAGTGTGTGTGTGTATGTGTCAGGTGTCCCGCAGTGTGTGTGTGTGTCAGGTGTCCCACAGTGTGTGTGTATGTGTCAGGTGTCCCGCAGTGTGTGTGTGTGTATGTGTCAGGTGTCCCGCAGTGTGTGTGTGTGTGTGTGTGTGTGTCAGGTGTCCCGCAGTGTGTGTGTGTGTCAGGTGTCCCGCAGTGGGTGTGTGTGTGTGTGTGTGTGTGTGTGTGTGTGTGTGTGTGTCAGGTGTCCCGCAGTGTGTGTGTGTGTCAGGTGTCCCGCAGTGGGTGTGTGTGTGTGTGTGGCAGGTGTCCCGCAGTGTGTGTGTGTGTGTGTGGCAGGTGTCCCGCAGTGTGTGTGTATGTGTCAGGTGTCCCGCAGTGTGTGTGTGTGTGTGTCAGGTGTCCCGCAGCGTGTGTGTGTGTATGTGGCAGGTGTCCCGCAGTGTGTGTGTGTGTGTGTATGTGGCAGGTGTCCTGCAGTGTGTGTGTGTGTGTATGTGGCAGGTGTCCCGCAGTGTGTGTGTGTATGTGGCAGGTGTCCTGCAGTGTGTGTGTGTGTGTGTATGTGGCAGGTGTCCTGCAGTGTGTGTGTGTATGTGTCAGGTGTCCCACAGTGTGTGGGGTCCCGCAGTGTGTGTGTGGGGGTCCCGCAGTGTGTGTGGGGTCCCGCAGTGTGTGTGGGGGTCCTGCAGTGTGTGTGTGGGGTCCCGCAGTGTGTGTGGGGGTCCCGCAGTGTGTGTGGGGGTCCCGCAGTGTGTGTGGGGTCCCGCAGTGTGGGGGGGGTCCCGCAGTGTGTGTGTGGGGGTCCCGCAGTGTGTGTGTGGGGGTCCCGCAGTGTGTGTGTGGGGGTCCCGCAGTGTGTGTGGGGGGCCCGCAGTGTGTGTGGGGGGCCCGCAGTGTGTGTGTGGGGGTCCCGCAGTGTGTGGGGGGGCCCGCAGTGTGTGTGGGGGGCCCGCAGTGTGTGTGGGGGGCCCGCAGTGTGTGTGTGGGGTCCCGCAGTGTGTGGGGGTCCCGCAGTGTGTGTGGGGGGTCCCGCAGTGTGTGTGGGGGGCCCGCAGTGTGTGGGGGGCCCGCAGTATGTGTGGGGGGTCCCGCAGTGTGTGTGGGGTCCCGCAGTGTGTGTGTGGGGTCCCGCAGTGTGTGTGGGGGGCCCGCAGTGTGTGGGGGGCCCGCAGTATGTGTGGGGGTCCCGCAGTGTGTGTGGGGTCCCGCAGTGTGTGTGGGTCCCGCAGTGTGTGGGGGGGTCCCGCAGTGTGTGTGGGGGTCCCGCAGTGTGTGTGGGGTCCCGCAGTGTGTGTGGGGGTCCCGCAGTGTGTGTGGGGTCCCGCAGTGTGTGTGTGGGGTCCCGCAGTGTGTGGGGGTCCCACAGTGTGTGTGGGGGTCCCGCAGTGTGGGTGGTAGGAAGGCCCGCAGTGTGTGGGGGGGTCCCGGAGTGTGTGTGGGGGTCCCGCAGTGTGTGTGTGGGGGTCCCGCAGTGTGTGTGGGGTCTCGCAGTGTGTGGGGGGTCCCGCAGTGTGTGTGGGGGTCCCGCAGTGTGTGTGTGGGGGTCCCGCAGTGTGTGGGGGGTCCCGCAGTGTGTGTGGGGGGTCCCACAGTGTGTGTGTGGGGGCCCGCAGTGTGTGTGGGGGCCCCGCAGTGTGGGTGGGGGTCTCGCAGTGTGTGTGGGGGGGCCCGCAGTGTGTGTGGGGGGCCCGCAGTGTGTGGGGGGTCCCGCAGTGTGTGTGGGGGGGTCCCGCAGTGTGTGGGGGTCCCGCAGTGTGTGTGTGGGGTCCCGCAGTGTGTGGGGGTCCCACAGTGTGTGGGGGGTCCCACAGTGTGCGTGGTAGGAAGGCCCGCAGTGTGTGGGGGGGTCCCGGAGTGTGTGGGGGGCCCACAGTGTGTGTGGGGGTCCCTCAGTTTGTGTGTGGGGGTCCCGCAGTGTGTGTGTGGGGGTCCCGCAGTGTGTGTGGGGGTCCCACAGTGTGTGGGGGGTCCCGCAGTGTGTGGGGGTCCCACAGTGTGTGTGGGGGGTCCCGCAGTGTGTGTGGGGTCCCGCAGTGTGGGTGGGGGTCCCACAGTGTGTGGGGGTCCCGCAGTGTGTGGGGGTCCCGCAGTGTGTGTGGGGTCCCGCAGTGTGTGGGGTCCCGCAGTGTGTGTGTGGGGGTCCGCAGTGTGTGTGTGGGGGTCCGCAGTGTGTGTGTGGGGGTCCCGCAGTGTGTGGGGGTCCCACAGTGTGTGTGGGGTCCCGCAGTGTGTGTGTGGGGTCCCGCAGTGTGTGTGGGGGTCCCGCAGTGTGTGTGGGTCCCGCAGTGTGTGGGGGTCCCGCAGTGTGTGTGTGGGGGTCCCGCAGTGTGTGTGGGGGGGTCCCGCAGTGTGTGTGGGGGTCCCACAGTGTGTGTGGGGTCCCGCAGTGTGTGGGGGTCCCGCAGTGTGTGGGGGGTCCTGCAGTGTGTGGGGGTCCCGCAGTGTGGGTGGGGGTCCCGCAGTGTGGGTGGTAGGAAGGCCCGCAGAAGGCTGCTCCATCTTGCGCCTCACAGACCAGGATTGAGAGCAGGGAATGAGGGCCGGGCCTCCGCCGCAGAGATGCTGAGCTCCGAGCCCGGAACCTCCCCCACACCTGCTGTACAGGGTCCCAAGACAGGACCCAGCAGCACCAGGGGGATTTCTGCTGCTTCTGCTCACAGGGGAGAGCAGGAGGGGCCAGGAAGAGACAGAGACAGAGACACCAAGCAAGACTGGCACAGAGGGGGGCAGGGGAGGACCCCACGCAGATACCAGCGGCAGGACAGAGACAGAGCGGGCAGGGGAGGAAGAGGGCTTCAGGGAGGTGGGGCTTCCACCCAGCCTCCTGCAACCCTACTGGTGCCAGGGCCATTCTGTTCTCCTGGCCAGGCACGCCATTGGTGCCCAAGGGCCCCTCCCCTGCTCAGACTGTCCTCCACAGAAACCCATGGTGAGCAGCAGGGGGCCCCTGGCCAAACAGCCCGTGAGCAAACTCTAGTCTGGGGATCTCACAGAACCGCCCCCCCCCGCCCCCCGTAACAACAGACAGAGAAGCAGAGGCAGCGCGTGAGGCGGGCCTGGCTGCGTCTCTGAGGGACCTCAGCTCTGCAGGGTCAGAGGGGGTGGCGGGGCTCTGCAGTGGCGGGGCTCAGCGCGGGCAGGCGGGCAGGCAGGAGCTGGGACTTCCCAGCTCATGGTGGCGAGGTGCGAGGGCAGCCCGGGCCTACCCTGCCCGCTCCTTCAGCTTCTTGTCCGTGATGCCATCTTTGGACACGAGCTTGTTGAAGACCAGGATCCCGATGACCATGTTCACCTGCCGGGCAGAGGCGGGCATGGGCCAGGTAGCCAGGTGCCCAGCTGCCCGGCAGCTAGCTGCAGCCACGCACCGGTGCTTGGTACAGCACCAAGGTCACTCCAGCGCTGCCACCAGGAAGACCCATGGCTGGCCAGTGAGGAGCCTCAGCGAGTGGCACCCCTGCCCGGCCTCCCCCTACCCCGCCTCCCCCCTGCCCTACCTTTCCCCTGCTCCACCCCTGCCTCAGCTCCAGGTGACTCCGCCACTCCACCCAGGGTCCTCAGCTCAAGACAGGAGCTGGGGCTGTGCCCCACGAGCCAGCTCTGAACCCTGGGGACCCCGAGTGTCTCTCCCCGGCCATCTGCTTGCTCCTCACCTCCAGGCAAAGAACTGCAGGCCCCTGGGTTCACACTACAGAAAGGGTGACTCGGCCCTAGTCCCCAGCCGGGCCCCTGGGGTTCGAGATGGGGCGCCTAGAACTCCAGAGTCCACACACATGTCCATGGGTCTGCCTGCTAGGGTGTGGCCCGGCTGACTAACTGCTGAGGAGGAAAGGGTGGGCGGTCCTGGTCCCCACTAGCAGTCAGCAGCAGGCTCCACACAGCCCCATCCTGGAGGGACGGCTGCCGTGGGGGCGGGGGTGAGGCCCAGCACAGACAGAGCTCCAACCTAGTCGGCCACACACCCCTTCCAGCCTCCACCCTTAAATGGCACCAGGCCCCACAGAGGCACTGCCAGGTGCTGGGTGTCCTGGCCTCGTCCATCTGGGCAACTCTGAAGAGTAAGAAACAGGGGTCCACCCCATGGATGCTGCCAACTGCCTCTGTCCACCGCCTCAGACTCCATCACATCCTGCAGGCCAGCCGCCCAGGGCCGCTTGTCCACAAGTCCAGCCTGTGCTGAGCTCCTACTATAACGGGTGGAGCAAGCTACAGCAGAACCCTTCTCAGCTGGGTCTGCAGTCCTGGGGCTCCCTGTCTGTCCACGGTCCTGGGGCTCCCTGTCTGCCACGGTCCTGGGGCTCCTTGGTTTGTCGCCCCGGGGCAGGTATGGGAACTGGGCTCGGTGCCAGGCAGTGAAGAGGTCCATGGCCCTGGGCAGGCTCCCATCCCTGAGACAAGCAGCTCCCGCCCACAGCACCCTGGGTACTGGGGGCTGGGAGTGGATGCCTGTGACCTGGACCTAAGATGCATTCTCCCTTGGCTCCATTGTTCACCTGTCACCCACCCCATTTCTAATCACCAACCAAGCCTGCACTGTTCAATGATTAGGCGAACTGTGCTCATTCAGAGCCAATTCCCTGCCCTACCCCAGCAGCCTGCCATGTGGTCAGAGGGGCTGGGAGCAGGCCCCTCTGTGACCCCACACCCCGGGGCGGGGCCCCAAGCAATGTCTCCGCCAGGGTAGCCCAGAGGCAGGTGAGCCGAGGGGCAGGAGTGGGGAGGGAGGGGGCGGGCAGGCCAGTACCAGCACGACGGCGGCAGCAGGTCCCACGAAGGCATAGAGCAGTCCCCCCTCCAGCGAGAGCCAGCAGCTGCGGAGGAGACTGGAGGTCAGTGCCGTTCCCAGGCAGAGATGTGTGGGAAGGTCAGGGGCTGGGGAGGGAGCTGCCCTCCTACATGCAGGGCGCGTGGTGCACATGGTTCTCCGGAGCCTCCACTTACAGATGAGAAACGGGCCCAGCACTGGGGACAGGCCCGCTCAGAACCCCCATCTCCCCTCCAGAGGCTCGCACTCGTTCCTGACCTGGCATCAGGGGTCCCCTAGCCTCAGCTCCAGGCTATGCGCTCACACCCTGGCTGGCCTGGTGCATGCCAGTCCCCGCTCCCACTCCCTGGACCGCTGGCAGCCATGGGGACACTCGGTGTGCTGCAGGGTCTCCACCTGGGTCCTGGCCCGTCGCCCCCCCCCCACGTGGCAGCGCTAGCCATGCCCCCACTCTGCTCCCTCTCCTGCATCTCCACAGGTCTCTGTTCCTCCCCAGCCCCATCCTGAGCACATGGTCTTCCCACTGTACCAGGAGGCCCAGACTCCTTCAGGGTAGCCCCAAGTGCTTTGGTTGGCTCTCAAGGCCCCAGGACCTGGCCCAGGCAGCAGAACTGCTGTCTGTGGAACGGACTAATGCCTGCCCTGCAGTGAGGGTACTGGGAGTGGGGGTGTCTGCTGTGTCTGACTGTTCTGGGGCCTCCTCTTCGCCACGCTTGCATACGGAGGGTGACCCCCACGATCCCCCAGTTAGATGGGTCCACACCATCTTACCCTACCTGTAGACTAGGCAGAGGCTGGCCAGCTGGGTGCAAGGGCTCACCTCTGGGCCCCGGGAGCAGTGTAGACACTGCCAGGCCAGCCAGGGGAGGCCTGGCCAGCCCACACACCTTGCGGGCTGCAGGAGGCGTGGGATGCCATGTGGCCGTCCTGTGCCCCACCTGCCCAACTCACTAGTTCATGGTGCTGTAGCCTTTGGCCTTGGTGAATCCCACAGAGATGGCCACCACCAGCGCAGGGAGCCCTGAAGAAGGACCGGAAGGAGGGACATCAACCCCACCCCCAATCTACCCCTGACCCCGTCACCTCCACCTGTGGGGGGAGGGGGAGGAGGAGGCTGTGAGTTCTCCCCTCCCCGCGGCCCCCCGCACCGGTGGACAAGGGGGAAAGGCTGTGCCTTTGATGTCCCCGACAGACAGGGACACCGAGTGCCAGGGCTGGGCAGTGGACAGACGGGACAATGAGGAGAATGAGACGCCCGGTTATCAAGGAAATGAAAAGGCCAAGTCCACATAAAACAGGCATTGTGTTCATTCAGCGTAAGCATGAACAGGACAGGCAGACACCACCGGACGGCTTGTCCAGTCAGAGTGGCCTGACTGCCACGCGTGCCCGGCAGGCCTAGGAAGGGGCAGGAAGCACCGGCAGGAAGGACGGGGACGAGGACGGGGGCGCCGGGGCACTCAGCGTGCAGCCACCCCTGCGCCCACCCTGCCACCCGCCCTCTCCCTGGCCACCCCCGCTCACCCCAGCCCAGGCAGAGGAAGCGCTTGCGGACGAGCCGGCTCCGGAGGCGGCCGGTGACAGCCATGTAGGACTGCCAGGCCTCGGTGAGCACCCAGCAGAAGGAGGACAGGAAGAAGAAGTGCAGGAAGGCCGCCACCAGCGTGCACACCACCTGGACAGCGGGCGTCCAGGAAGGCTGGGCAGGTGCCCTCTGGCCCTGGCCAGCCCCCCAGTGGGCTCCTGGCACTGCCAGGAGCAGCCTAAGGCCAGGCCCTCAGCCGGCACCCACAAGTCCCTAGGGAGGTGGGGAGCGAGACCCAAGCTCCCACAGTGGGGGTGCCAGGTGGATGTGGGGGCTGAAGCTGCCAGTCAGGGCATGTGAGATCTATGAACTGCCAGGAACACACACCCCTGCTCTCCAGCTCCTACCAAGTGACAGCCCAGGGCTCCTGCAGAAGCCCCAGTTCAAGCCCCCCGTTGGGCAGGCAGTGACGTGGAAGCCGAGAGGGCACGTCCAAGCCAAGGTCTCACAGCCCGTCACAGACAAACTGACCGTGCTGCAAACGGCGGTCCTGAGGCAGACCTCCTCCTCTCTCTCCCCCTGTGGTACCTCCGACCCCACCCATCAAGGCAGCCCCTTGAGGAAGCAGAGGCCCCTCTCCCAGGCTGGGCCAGCCAAGGACGGTCTAGGGACCACAGGATGGGGTACAGAGGTGCAAGCAGAGGGGCCCCACCAGGAACTGCCAGGCACCACGCCGCCCAGGGTGGGAGCCCTGCAGGGGGCGCCCTCCCCCCATCTAAGATGAGGCGCGCTCACAGCGGTCCACAGTCTGCAGGCAGCCTACCTTGTTGCGGGTCTGGGTCTGCCCGATGAGGATGAGAGCGTTGGAGGAGATGATGGACAAGCAGAAGTTGATGAGGATGACAGAGCGCTCGGAGCGGATGTACCTGCAGAGAGCACACGACCTGAGCCTGGCACCCCGTGGGACCTCATCCACGCAGGAGCCAGGGACGTGTGTCATTCTCCAGGCCCAGATCTGCCCTTTCTCCCAACCATCACGCCACCTCCGTTATCGATGCCACCACCACCACCACCACCTCCACCATCACCACGTCCATCACTACCACCTCCACCACCACCACCATCACCTCCACCATCAGCAACTCCACCACCACCACCACCATCTACCACCTCCATCACCACCACCTCCACCATCAGCAACTCCACCACCACCACCTCCACCACCACCTCCATCACCACCACCATCCACCACCATCCACCATCAGCAACTCCACCACCACCACCACCTCCACCATCCACCACCTCCATCACCACCACCACCACCACCTCCACCACCATCACCTCCATCATCAGCAACTCCACCACCACCTCCATCCACCATCAGCAACACCAGCACCAGCACCACCACCACCTCCACCATCAGCAACTCCACCACCACCATTCAACATCAGCAACACCACCACCACCATCCACCACCACCACCTGCATCACCACCACCTCCATCATCAGCCACTCCACCACCACCACCACCACCACCACCACCTCCTCCATCACCACCATCCACCATCAGCAACACCACTACCACCACCACCACCTCAACCACCACCACCTCCACCATCACTACCATCACCTCCAGCATCAGCAACTCCACCACCACCACCTCCATCACCACCACCTCCATCATCAGCCACTCCACCACCACCACCTCCACCATCAGCAACTTCACCACCACCACCATCCACCATCAGCAACACTAGCACCAGCACCAGCACCACCTCCACCATCACTATCATCACCACCTCCACCATCAGCAACTCTACCACCACCATCCAACATCAGGAACACCACCACCACCATCCACCACCACCTCCACCACCACCACCTCCAGCACCACCACCTTCACCATCAGCAACTCCACCACCACCTCCATCACCACCACATCTACTATCAGCAACTCCATCACCACATCTACCACCACTACCACAGTCACCTACATCTTCACTACCCACCACCTCTGTTACCACCAGGGCCACCAGCACCTCTGCCATCTCCACCATCACAAACAACACCATCCACCAGGGCCACCTCCATCACCACCAACTCACCACCACCACCAGCACCTGCACCACAACCCCAACACCCCATCTCCACCTCCACCATCACCATCTCCACCATCACTAACACCACCATCACCTCCACCATGGCCACCACCATCACCACCAACACCACAACCACCAGCACCTGTCCCACAACCCCAACATGCCATCTCCACCTCCACCATCACCATCTCCATCACCACACCAGTATTACCATCACCTCCCTCATTACCATCACCACAAACATCAACACTACCAGCACAACCATTACCAGCATCACCACAATCACCACCACTTCCACCATCATCACTGTCACACTGTCACCTGACCCCGTCACCACCTCCACCATCATCAATGTCACACTGTCACCTGATCCCATCACCACCTCCTCCATCATCACTGTCACACGGTCACCTGACCCCGTCACCACCATCATCACTGTCACACTGTCACCTGACCCTGTCACCACCTCCTCCATCATCACTGTCACACTGTCACCTGACCCCATCACCACCTCCACCATCATCACTGTCACACTGTCACCTGACACCATCACCACCATCATCACTGTCACACTGTCATCTGACCCCATCACCACCATCATCACTGTCACACTGTCACCTGACCCTGTCACCACCTCCTCCATCATCACTGTCACACTGTCACCTGACCCCATCACCACCTCCTCCATCATCACTGTCACACGGTCACCTGACCCCGTCACCACCATCATCACTGTCACACGGTCACCTGACCCCATCACCACCATCATCACTGTCACACTGTCACCTGACCCCATCACCACCATCATCACTGTCACACTGTCACCTGACCCTGTCACCACCTCCTCCATCATCACTGTCACACGGTCACCTGACCCCATCACCACCTCCATCATCACTGTCACCTGACCCTGTAACCACCTCCTCCATCATCACTGTCACACTGTCACCTGACCCCATCACCACCATCATCACTGTCACACTGTCACCTGACCCCGTCACCACCTCCTCCATCATCACTGTCACACTGTCACCTGACCCCATCACCACCATCATCACTGTCACACTGTCACCTGACCCCATCACCACCTCTCCATCATCACTGTCACACTGTCACCTGACCCTGTAACAACCTCCACCATCATCACTGTCACACTGTCACCTGACCCCATCACCACCATCATCACTGTCACACTGTCACCTGACCCCATCACCACCATCATCACTGTCACACTGTCACCTGACCCCATCACCACCATCATCACTGTCACACTGTCACCTGACCCCATCACCACCTCCTCCATCATCACTGTCACACTGTCACCTGACCCCATCACCACCTCCTCCATCATCACTGTCACACTGTCACCTGACCCCGTCACCACCTCCACCATCATCACTGTCACACTGTCACCTGACCCCGTCACCACCTCCACCATCATCACTGTCACACTGTCACCTGACCCCACCTCCACCATCATCACTGTCACACTGTCACCTGACCCCGTCACCACCTCCACCATCATCACTGTCACACGGTCACCTGACCCCGTCACCACCTCCACCATCATCACTGTCACACTGTCACCTGACCCCATCACCACCATCATCACTGTCACACTGTCACCTGACCCCATCACCACCATCATCACTGTCACACTGTCACCTGACCCCATCACCACCTCCACCATCATCACTGTCACACGGTCACCTGACCCCATCACCACCTCCACCATCATCACTGTCACACGGTCACCTGACCCCATCACCACCTCCACCATCATCACTGTCACACGGTCACCTGACCCCGTCACCACCATCATCACTGTCACACTGTCACCTGACCCCATCACCACCTCCACCATCATCACTGTCACACTGTCACCTGACCCCGTCACCACCTCCACCATCATCACTGTCACACTGTCACCTGACCCCGTCACCACCTCCACCATCATCACTGTCACACGGTCACCCCATAACTAGCTCCACTGTTATCACTGTCCCTGTAACACTGTCACCTGACTCCTGCCACCACCGCTGTGGTTCTTGGGAATCTAGAGCCGTCAGGTGTAGCAGGGGCCACTGCTGAGCCTGGGCGGCCCGGCCATGGCTCTGACCAGCTGTGGGAGCCTCAGCGGGCTGACTGAGCTCCCTGTGGGTCCCCCACTTTCTCGGGGGGCTGTGTCAGCACTGTCTGTCCTGTAGCTCTGGGGCATCATGCTGGCCACAGTATGGTTGAGGGAGGTGCTTTGAAAACCATCAGAGCTGGAGTTCAGAGCCTCTGAGCCCCAACCCCAGGGAGAGAAAGGGCCCCACGGGAGGAGCAGTGGGCAATCTGGCCTTGGATGGGACAGTGACTGCCGGGTCACCAGAAGGGCTGGTCATGTGCCCCTTTCCTACCAGCCCATCGACCTTCTGCTGGCCTCAGGCGGCGGCCGATGAAGAACAGCCACCATCCGGAAGCAGCCAAGCCTCCGCTCAGCCCCTGGGGCGGTGGCCGGCGCCCAGCGACCTTGAGCTCACCATCCCTGCTCCCAGCTGCTCAGTGGGGCTGGACTGGACACAGGTGGGCCTGGAGACGCCACAGATCTGCATAGAGGTGAGGGCCCAGCGCCCCCCCCCCAGCCTGCAGCTGCCCCTCGCCAGCTTCTACGCACACGTCCCTCACTGCCGCTCTGTGGCCTACACGCCCCAGCAGGCCTGCAGAGGTCGACTGTCCCTGCTGCTCTGCACAGCCCGAGGGCGGCGTGAGCAGAGGTTTCAGGCCCAGGCCAGCTCCTGCGTTGGAGTGGCGGTCCTGCAGGCTCACGCGTGAGGATGCGCGGGGGCGCAGGCCTCCTGGGAGCCCCAGGCGGGTGAGGGGAAGGTGCCTCGTGTGCCCGGAGGCGTGCGGACCGCCCCCACAGGACCCCCGGCGGCACCCACCTCCACACGGACACGTAGATGATGACCAGCATGAGCAGGGTGAGCGAGGACACACCGCAGCCCACGATCAGCGTCACCGACGGCACGGCGGCCTTCTCCATGGTCTGGAACCAGAAGAGACGCGGGAGTGAGACACCGCCCGCACGTCCATGCTGGGTGTGGGGGGGGCCCGGCCAAGGCTGCGCGCGTCCCCAGGGTCCTGGCCCTCCTGCCAGCCCGCCAGCCCAGCGCCTGAGGCCTGGCTGGGCCGGGCCTGAGGGAGGGTGACCTCCACTCTGCGGTTATAGCCATCCACCCGGTTCCACCTCCTCACAGCCCTGCCGCTTCAGGGAGACGCTGCCACACCCCATCACAGCCGGGCCTGGGCAGGCAGCTCTCGAGAGTGGACACAGAGCTCGGGTCCCAGCCAGAGCCTGCCCCCCTCCCCACCGCCAGCCTCTGACCACCCTCTCCCCACTCGCCAGAGCTCTCTTCTTTCCTCCAACCCTCTGCTCCGGCTGGGACCTCGGTATATCTCTGTCGTTGCTGTCCCCTCCGAGCCACACAGGCTCGGAGTCCCCCCCCAACTTGCTGCAAAGGCCCTGGGGTGGCCTCTTTCCTCCCACCCCCAGCCCTGTTGCTGGAGCTCACTCCTCCACTCCCATGGGGCTCCGGCCTCAGCTCGTCCTGTTTGACATGGGCCAGGCTGATGCTCCCCCTTTGCCCACCCCGCGTGGGCCAGACTGGCAGACCCTCCCCTACCTCCTACCTCCCAGCTCCGCCGGAGCTGCCAAGCTCCTCTCAGCTTATGCAAGGATGCGCTCACACGCCGAGCGTGGAGTGCAGAGCAGAGCGCCCACAACCCACAGCCCACACCCGGAGCTTCGGGTGTCCCAGGCCACGGGGAAGCCAGGTTGAGGAGGAAAAGCAGCAGCCTCCTCCCTCCCAGCTGGGTTCCCAGCCGGACGACGGCCTTGGGAAGGGGGCCCAGGCAGCACGCCCCTCAACCCAGTGCCCAGCTGCCCCCTATGTCTGACTCACCGGCCGTCCCCCGAGCGGCCCCTGCTCAGGAGCCCACCACACAGACGAGGACCCACTCACCCACTCCTCCCAGGAAGATGGTGTCCTGGGGGCCTGCATTGTCCTTCCTACAGCCTGTTCCACCCCTCTGGGCCACCCCAAGATGCAGGCCCCACCCTGCGGGGGCCGCCTGTCCCCTGAGGCCCAGCCCCAGCGGGCACCGCTGTCACTGAGGGTGACGGCAGGGTCCAGGGCAGCGTCCTGGCACGCTGAAGAGTCCCAGGCCACCCAGGGGGACAAGGGTCCTGGAGGCACCCCCGCCGGGGACCCAGCCCCAGCACGGGCCCACAGTGGACTCCCACGTGCAGAGCTAGGGGCTGGGGTGGGAACGGGGAGGGGCCGCGGTGGGACCCAGCCCGGGGGAGGGGGGATGGGCTCTGCCCTCCCGAAAACCTCAGTGCCCATCAGCCAGCTCTGGCCCCTGCCCAGTGGCTGCAGCCCAGGGCGGGCACACAGAGGTGACACCACGTGCTCCCAACAAAGCAGCACCCCTCCTCTCGGGGTCCCAGCACCTGGGGCTCAGGACCCCATGGGGCCACCTCTGTGCTGACCGTTCATCCGCAGAGCCTCTGGCCTTGGCAGGACCTGCCCTCCGAGGGTGGAGAGACGCAGCCTGTCTCCCTGCCCCTCCCCCCTCCAGGACATGGGCGGCCTGAGACGGCCTACCTGCCTGGCGTGGCACAGCCAGACACCTGACCTGCCCACACCCGTACCCGAGCCACACATACACCTGGCACAAGTGCGCCAGGCACCAGCCCAGGGCCCCCCGAGCCCAGCCCACGCCTCACACATGCTGGGCAGCGTGGCTCCCGTCTGCTCCTCTAGAAGGAGGTGATGCTGGAAAGCAGGCAACCCCCCTACCCCCGCCCACCGTCCTAGGCCTCTGAGCTCAGCCGCAGAGTCACGTGACCAGCCAGAGGGTGGTACCCTCTGTGACAGCAACGCGGCCGGGTGGACACCTGCCAGGTACCGCGCCGCACAGTGGCGGGCCTCTGGGGCCGGATCCTCCACCCCGTGTGCCCTCACCCAGGAGAAACGGAGGCCCAGCCTGGGAGGAGGCTGGTGGACAGGGACAGGTTGGGGGCAGCATGGGCAGCAGATATTCCAAGGCCACGGGCAGGTCGCAGGTGGCCGAGCAAGTGGCCTGTGCTGGTGCCGTGGTTGGCTCCAGTCCCGGTTTCCACAGCCATCTGCCTGTCTGCCCTCGACAGGTCTGGCAGCTCGCACGCCTGTCCACCCGCTGTCATGGATCGCTCCGGACAGTCCCCACCCGGCCCAGAGTGGTGTGGAGGGGACTGGTGGCAGCCTGCAGCTCAGGGTGATCAGAACTCCAACCGGATGGGAAAGGCAAGACTGTAAAGCTAAAGAGCAAGAGACAGACAGTCCCAACTTCCATGGGAAGGAGGCCGAACCTGGCCAGAGCATGGCAGGAGAGCAGCTCCCATGCCAAGCTCAGTGCTGCCCCGGGGCCTTTGCACAGACCGCTCCTGCTGCTCAGTACCCTTCTCCTGACCTTCCTGGGAACTCTTCCCTCAGCCGAGAAGTTCACTACCTCCTAGAGGACCTCAAAACACCACGAGAGCCAGATTTCAGGCTCTGGGCCCCAGTGCCTGCCCTTGGTCGCTCTGGTCCTGGTCATGCCCCCCCCCCCAGCCTTCCCTGTTTGCTGTTGAGTTACTGCTGGTTCTGCCCCTGAACTCCCTACTGAGGTCCACTGTGGAACTCTGCACGGCCCCGGCCCTGAGGAGTGACTTCGGCCCTGCCGTCCCCACACCAGCTGAGGACCCAGAATGCTCCACACGCTTCCCGAAACCCCAAGTCCCGGACACAGCCACAGATGAAATCACGGACGTGGCCCAGGCCGCCCGGCGCCGGGCTGAAGACACGCACACGCGGACGTCTGCCCCTGGCCGCGTCCCGGCTGGGCGGGCCGGCCACCTGCGGACAGCCGCACCGACACCGCGCGGATGCCCGGCAGGCGCGTCGGACGTGTCAGGCACCCTGCACGCCCGCACGCCCGGCTCTCCCACTCAGGTGTGACTCATGACTCAGAGCAGCTACTCACCTTCCGCAGTCCCGGCCCGCAGCCTCAGCCCACGCCCTGGCCAGGGCCAGCCCCGGGCGCTCCGAGGCCCGGGGCACCTCACCTCCACTGCCATCTCAGGGCCTCGTCTGGGTGGTGGTCCCGGGGAAGACCCCTTGACGGGCACCGCCGCCTGCCCGCCCACCCAGCCCCTCGCCCGCCGCCCGCCTCCCGTGGCCTGGCCTTCCTCTGCTACCATCCTGTGGCCCTCAGGATGGACGGGAGCCCTCCCCCGGCTGGGGCCTTGCCAGTACGGCCTGCTCCACCTCTCCTGACCCCGAGCCCCACACCTGACTCCCATGTTCTGTCCTCGACAGCTGGTGACTTTGTCACCTCCCTGGATAGCTGGGGTTGGCTGATGAATTCACGCACATCCCTCAGAACCCTGCTCTGAGTGTGCATGTGCACTCGCATGCACACGCATGCACACACACGCACACACACTCCCAGGACCCAGCTCTGAGCCTCCCGATGCACACCCTCTCCTGTAAACCCCTCCCAAGGGGAAGGAGGCTGCCTGTAGCTCCCCACCCTCCCCTCCTGCAGCCTGGCTACCCCTGGCTTGAGTATCGGACGAGCCCAGCCAGGGGCGGTGTAGGGGGCGGCGCAGGGGCGGCGTGGGATCTCACTTGAGCTCCCAGGATTCAGAGCGGTTAGTGCTGGGGGTGTCACACAGGTCAGGGGCCTGCTAGGTGGCCGCAGGTCTCATTCGCCCCCAGGGCCAGCACGGGTGGGAGGGAGGGGAAGGGAGCCAGGGCATGGGCGGCCGGAGAGCTGCTGAGCTCCAGGTGGAGGCCGAGTCCCCGGTTCCCCTCCCAGCCCCCTCGGCACTCAGGCCCAGGCTGGACCACACCAGGAACCCACAGCCTAGCTAGATGACCACCCCTTACAGATGAGGGGCCGAGGCTCAGGGAGGCTGGCGGACAGCCTCTGGTTGGAGGCTGGTGTGTGGCTGAGGCCTTGACTATCCTGTGTAGGATTTGGGGCCAGGGTCCCAACACCCAGCACACAAGCCTCTATGACCGCCAGCCTGATACTGGAAGCCCCAGGAGAGCCCTGACCCCCACCACATGAAGCCGACTCAACTGCATCTGTCCCTCCCTGAGGAGCAGCCTCCTCTCTCCTGCGGGTAGCTGGCACCCTTGGCTTTGCCTGGAGGCCCCGGGACTGAGCCCACCACTTTCTCCCCAGTGGCATGAGTGCATGACCCGGCCACCACACATTCCGGGACTCGGCCTGTGCCCACAGTGCTCCTCCCGCAAACCTCTGAGACATGGGGTCTCCAGGAGGGAGACCCAGGCTCAGGGGGAGGGAATGCCAGCCGCGGTCACAGTGTATAAGGGACAAGCCTGTATCGCTGGTGCCCAGTGCTGACCTACTACAGCCTGACCCTGACCTGGGAGAAGGGGACCCGGGACAGAACCGCCATTCTCCCTGTGTGTCCTGCTCATGCACCCCAAGGAAGAGCTGCCCCTGGGGAGCACAGCCTGGCCCTGTGTGGTCCATGCGGTCCAGGTCGCCTGCAAGGACCGGGGGGGGGGGAGGGGGCATGCGGCGGCAGCCTGCTGCCTTCATGTGTGTGTGCCATCTACATGGAGCCTCTGGGGTGGGCCCTGAGGATGCCGGGAATGTGGACCCTGCTCTGCCCACTCACACCAAGCCCTCCAGGCCCCTCCTGGGCCTCTGCTCCCCACCTGCCCTCCAAGTTCCATGGCAGCGACTTACAGGCCCCTCTGGCTCTGACCCACCAGCACCTCCGAAGGGCACGACCTGCCCTTCCCACTCTTCAGAGAGGAGGCGGGAGGGCCCCCCACCCGGAGGCTGGAGCTTCAGCTCCGGGAGGGCTCGGCCACAGCACCCCACAGCCAAGGACGGGGTCCTGTGCGGGCTGGCCCTGCCGGCGCCCCAGGCCCAGGCAGAGGCAGGGTGAGCCCCCAGCAGCTGCCCAGCAGGGGCTGGGCCACCCCGGCCGCCCGTCCTGTCCCATGGGCCAGCCCGGCACCCAGGCCCTGCCGGCTGGCCGCCCTGGATGCGTCACCATGGAAACCGGCAGCCCCCACAAGAATCACAGGAACAAAAAGGAGGCCCCGGAGACAGTGGGGCCCGCCTGGGGACTTGGGCCGGGCCCAGCAGCCTCAGCCACCCCCGGAGCCCTGCCTGGGAACGCGGGGTGGGGGGGCACGGCCACCTCCGCTCACCAAGGCTCCACTGAAGGTGCTGCAGCACCCGGGGCCCGGAGAAGCAGGCAGCGGCTTCCCCGGCCGGGCAGGTGCCCCCAGTGTGGGGGTGCAGCCCGGTGCCTCCCGGCCCGGC